AAAGAAGAGCGAGAGTCTCACAGCGGAACTGAAGGAACACTGAATTCAGAGGAGCCTACTCGCTGAAAAACACTGTCCAGCTCCGTGAGTGAGTAGAAGGGATCCGCTCAAAACGCCAAAAACGGGCACAAGATTGGGTCATTTACACCAAATGCAGTGGTGACAGAAAAGAACAAAAATGATGACCCTGGGGCGGGGGCGAGAACTACAGACCCATTCCCACATTGTTAATACCCGGTTATGCCAGCACCATTAGTTGAATATGCTTTCTTTTTCCATTTTCCTGTCAGCTATGCAGACTTGCAATTTGGATTAGAAGAAAGAGAGTTTATAAAATGGCCTATGCTGAGTGAGACCTTATTTTAAATATCCTATGGGAGACCTTGAGCCACTAAGTAAAATTCTTAAAGGGAACAATAATCCAAATTCCAGTAGACAGTTTACAGAAGATGCCAGACAGATACCCACGCGGGCAGAATATGCTATACAGAAACAAGTACGATCAGCTTTGGCAAGCATGTTTATTACTCACAAAACTACCCTACAACAGTTTCGCCAGTTAGGATATTAAACTCTTAGTTTGAAGCAGTAGCTTGTTTAGTACGGGAGAACAGTATGGAATCTAGGAGATATTTTGGCTGTGAACTGGCTATGATCATTGCTTCTTATACTAAGCAACAGATTAATTGATAATTGTAATGATTCTTGGGCAATTGCATTTGCTCAATTTAAAGTCTCAATTAATAATCTTTTCCCAGATGATCTTTGCTGCAATCTGCACAATTATGTATTTTCCATATGTTATAGCAAAAGATCCCTTACAGGATGCTATGCTAAATTTTACAGCTGGCTCTTCCAATAGAAGAGCTTCGTATATTATTGCTAAAGGTAAGAAGTAATTGTGGAGCATCCACGGCTCCTTAAAAACAACTTAAAAAGATAAAAACAGGAGAATTAAGAATCACCACACAGTGCCTTAAGGCAGGCCCTCTTTATGGATATCCACGAGCAAACCTGCTGCTTTCATGACAGATTCTGCCATGATGACACCAAGGCAACCTTTGATAAAGCAAGGATTAAAAAAGCTCGGGCACTGGATTATAAAAAGGCCCGACCCTGTACTAATTTGGGGTGGAGGATGTGTTTGTGCTTTTTTCACAAGAAGAAATAAAGCTGGATGCGATGACTGCATGTACAGAAAGGAGTGGCAGTCCCGACGACATCGTAGCTGCAAACCCCCATAGAGGAATAGGAGTGAGAGACCGTGGTCCTGCCTTCCCCGCCCCCACAGAGAGGAGTGCCTGACGGGAGAGCCATTCTGTGTTGTGGGATGCTGGGCTGCTTCTGGACACTCGGGACACACACCACCATTGAGGCCCTCCTGCAGCAGTCGTGATGGCCAGAACCTGCTGCAGTCTGAATTGTGTTTATTTGGAGTCAGACTAGAAACACAGACTGAACATTTGACTGTTTTACTCCGTGGGACACAAAGCTCATCTTGATTAAAATATTGGACCTGAGAACTGAGACTTAAACTTTCCCCTCAGGGGAAGAAGGACTCAAAATAAGGAGTGACTGAAGCCCCTCTTGACATACAAAGGGGGCAGCCTAAGGGTTTGGCTGCTGCTCAGAGACTGGAATTGTTGTTTAATAGCAGCAATGTCAGTGGACTCTCACCCGTCAGAAAAAATCCCTTTCTTATTTTTTGATTAGAACGGATTTAAGAGAATTGTGATATGTCAAATTGTGGGTTTATTGTTAATTCCCATTCTAGGATTATGGTATTGACCTGGTAATGTTTGTAACTGCTTGTAAGATGTTAAGAAAAGTTTGACATGTCCTGTGAGTGCTTGGACTTAACAAATTTGTTAAGAATTAAAGATTTTGATACAGTATAAAATTGTTAAAGAGGTGTTCTAGACCAGCTGAAGAGAACATTTCTAACCCAGATGATCCTCCTCTCCGTTAATTAGGAGACTGTAGCCTTTAGGAGCATGATTACTCATAAAGTATTATGAACTCTCTTGACAAAATGGTTAACTCCAAGACACAGAGCCCAAAGCTGTTTCTCTCCCTTAATCTCTTTTGTTCACAGAGGTGGGCAGTCAGAGATGGATTTGAATCTTCTTTACCCCAGGCGCCTAAGACAGGGACTCACATAATTAGAATGCCTATTTTGATGACGGATAAGTCTGGGTAAACAAGGAAGTCTTCCCCTAAGACATACGCAATCATCTGTCCTGTTGCAGAAGCACAGGCATTATTAAAATTTATAGAAAGGAAACAATTGTGGAGGCAGAGAAATGCAAGCCCATTCCCACATTGTCTGGCAGTCAGAGAATCTGAGAGACTTACAGGCACAATTTGCACCTTCCACACAGGAGAGGGTCACCTGGCTCTTTGAAGCAAAGCAAGCTCAGCGCCCTCCTGAGGTGCCAGGATATGCTCCTGTGATTCTGCTCCTCCATTGGAACTATGAGGTCACCTGGGGAGGAGGTGTTTTCAGCCTACATGACCAAGTGGACCTAAGTGAAATGTGACTTGAGTCATCTCAGCTACCCAGGCAGCAGAATGTTAATGAAGTCTTTGTTACCTGCTCCCCCAGTTTGCATTTGGTATAAAAGCTGTTGGGTGATTTTGGGATCTGAGTAACCCTGAAACTCCCTCCAGTACTGTCATGTGAATTGTGTCTTTATTTTTCTCACGCCTCTACACGGGTGAGAAAAGCTTTTGTTGGGGTTGGTCCCCAAGAAAAAAGAATTAATGAGACAGACAATGACAACAATGGTTGCAGTCCAGAAAGACTCAATACCCATGCTGAGCCCCATGTTGGGCACCAGATGTAACAGGGTCCCAGCGGGTGTCCCTTGCGGGGAGAGGGAAAAGTAGGCGTGGAATCAACATCCCAGGCACTGGGGACAGGTTGAAACAAGAAGCTCAGGTATTTCAAGAAGGGGTAAGCTTTATATACCTCCCACCCTGCCTTGGGGGGAAGTTCCACTGCGCTGGCAACTCTTGAGGTGATGTGGTCACTGTCCATAGGTTCACGTCATCTCTCATCAGAGTTCGGTGCTGTTGTCAAGGTCCTCTGGCAGACCTAGGCTGACATTTACTCTGCACGCCCTTACTATCTATCCAGGCCAGTTGGCTCTCAGCCCCACTAAGCTTAGTCATCTCATAATAGGAGACAGTGTAATGTAGCTTTGCCATGCTAAGTAATGTTTTTATAATTTAACACAAACCGGGTGGACAAAAGATGATATCTAAATATCTAACCACCTGAATAAGGGATATTTTGTTTCAACTAATCTAACTGACCAGCATGATGCAATATTACAGATGTTATCATAACTAAGTACTCCTTAGAAAATTCTGATAGTGGAAATTATAGTTGTATGAAGATGTAAAATTGAATATCTGATGTATTGTTGGAAGACCCTGTTGCTTAGGATTGTACTTCACCGTGTCTCTGAGCTTGGCACAGTATGGAGGACTCCGCTTGTAACAGGATGTCCTCTCTCCCCTATTTGGATAGCATCTCTAGGCCTGGATGCCTGACTTAGCTTCAGTGTGACCTTGGACACAGCTCCCTGCGGATGCTCTCCCCCTACCACCCACATGATGATTAGGTATTGTGCTCCAGCTGTATGGCAGGCCGGTGCTAACAATGTAAATTAGGTGATGCTCGGCTGCTGCTGCCATCCTGTATCGTCTCCTCACTCTGGAGTAAAGCTGAGCTCTCTCGCTGACGTTGTCTCCCAGAGGGCTATTTCTACCATATTCTCAAGTGTCTGAACCCTGCTTGCTGTTTCTGCCGCCTTTGTCCTCCCAGGTCTGGTGGCCAATGAACCACGAGGGAAAGAGAGACTCCACGATGTAGTGCTGCAGAAGTTGATACCGTTGTGCCTAGATTAGCCTATCTTTATTGCTTGTGGTTTAGAAAATAACCTCTGGCTTTTGGGGGGCATGGCAGTCAATGGGAGCAATTTTTATGTATCAGAAGAGACTCCTATCTCTGGACTCTTAAAGAAATTTATATGGTATAGGAGTCACTCATAGGCACTATGGACAAATAATATGAACAGTACAGAATCCACCTGTGCCCATATTCACAGGGACTCCCCTGACATTCCTGTCAACGATGGATTCTTTTTATAACATTGCTTGTGCTGTAATGTTGGAATTCCACCTCAAATCACAACCTTTCCCTCTGGGAAACAGCCACCATTGAGATGGACCTTTATTGTTTTTATGAAAATGTTATTTATACTGCCCTTCAATATAATTATGTCTTAAGCTTTATTGTTCACTTGGGAATGTGTTCCACCAGACTTTTTCCCTAATTGTACTGTATTATACAGCAGGAGTCACAGATCTGTCAGTAAGTGCTTGCTGTATAAAAGTGAGGACCTGACCGCAGGGTTCTAACACCCACAGAAAAAGCCAGGCCTAGGGTGTTGTGACCTGGAATCCCTCCTCCTGGGAGGCAGAGACAGGAGGATCAACCAGTGTCCTCCAGGGTTTGATGAGAAACTCTGCCTCAAAAAAGAAAATGGAGAGTACGTCAGGAAGACACAAGTGTGAATGTCCAGCTCTACATGCACGTTCACACATGAGCACAGACTGCACACACACACACACACACACACACACACACACACACACAGAGAGAGAGAGAGAGAGAGAAATAGATATCTATGCTTTAGCATTCTGTAGAAACAGTCTTTAAACTCCACATCTTATCTTTTTCCATTTAATTTAAAAATTTCCATTTAAAAATGTGTGTCTGTCTGTCTAGGAGGACCACTTTGACAAATTGTTCCTCTAACCTTCATGTAGCTTCAGGAGTCTAACCCAGGTCGCTTGGTTACACAGCAAATGCTTCCGTCCATGGAGCCATCTCCCTGCTCCTCAGAGGTGTATTTCCTCTTGAAATTTCTCTAGGAAACATGTTTTCCTCGTGAAATAACTGACAAGTTTATAAACATTTGAAAGCTATCATTTTGATGGTTTCTTTATTTCATTATAATTAAATTAATTGTTTCACCTAATGATTCCCTTTTTGTTTTGACTTGTTTTCTTTTAACATGTGCTCTTGTGTATGACAAAGGGGAACCCCAGGTGTAGTGGATTATTAAAAACTGCTGCAGATCCCCAAATAGCTTGCTGTGGGATCCCTGGCGGCAGGCAGTGGGCAGGGGGTCCCAAGAGCAGCCAGTCCCAGGCAGGGACGGTGCACAAGACCATGCAGCAGATCCCCGAAGGTGACTGATCCCCAGTGGCAACCCTGGTGGTGAGAGACAGACAGATCAGCACACCATACAGAGTGAGGTTGGATATTTATTTAGTTGTTATGGAAGGGAAGGGAGAAGGGGAAAAGAAGAAAGAAAGAGAGAGAGAGAAAGAGACAGAGACAGAGAGAGAGAGAGGAGAGGAGAGATCGAAGCTGCCTCTCCGAGAGGGAGCCAGAAAAGAGAGAGACTCGGACTGGAAGCTGAAGATCAGCCTACCTCAGCGGCTAGGGGAGGGAGTGGGCGTGGCTTGTCTCTTAAAGAGACAGATCATTACACCGGGTGTCTGGAGACTGGCTCATCAGGTGGACCCCAGAGCAGAACCTTCCAGATTCTCATCCAATGCAAATGCCTGTCTCTTCCCCTCCAGCTGCTCCACAGAGCAAAGGGCCCAGAGCATCGGCCTGACCGTGTCCTCACCCATACTGTGACAAGGGACACATTTTGTCCCTTGTTGACAAGCAACAACTCCCACCTCTACCACAGCTCTCATGGACTTTGTTCTTGTGTGTGTAAACATCATGTCGGATCTATTATATGTTGTCTTTTCAAATTCAATCCAATTCAGAGAACTATTTTAATTAGCAAGTAATATGTAACACTGAATTTATTTCTTATACGTAATCTTCCATACATATCCTGAATGCTGCCTTACAGAGCATCATTCCTTTCTTTTTGAATTTCTTCTCCTTGAAACTACACGAAACGGGTGATTTTCTTTCTTTGTTCGAGAAAAATGAAAAAAAGCATCATGACAGCAGCCTGGCTCAGAACCTCCAGACAAAGGCAGGGGACAAAAGGGAGCAGGACAGGGATGGGGAGAGGAAATCTGTCCTGGGGCTGCACGCCCAGGAAGGGGCTGAGCCACCAGGAAGCATAGTCTGCTGGGTTCAGAGCCAGGAGGATTCAGGCCGTGGGGAACCACTGTCAATGAAAGAACTGAACCCAAGCAGGACACATATTTCATGACATGGAGACAGGAGAGCTCCTTCCTTCAACCTTGTCACCTCACCTCAGCTCAGGAGTCCTGCAGAGCATGGGAGACAAGGCTTTTTCCAGACTTAACTCTGCAGTGGCTTATTCTCACCACCTCAGTACTCTTCTGACGGCACAACACTGAGGACAGAGAACTTCTCATGCCCCAAGTAAACAGTGCTTCAGAGCACAGGCCTTCAGTAAGTGCAGGGAACAAGGCTCAGTGCAAACCGCCTGGCCAGGCCCTGGGGTCTCTATCTTCCCCTGTGTTTCTACCTGGTGTCCCTCCACCCTACCCCACACTGTAGGGAAGGCAGATCTGTCTCTGAGGGAAGACTGAAGGGTGTTACCTGTCGGTTGAAGTCCAGACTGTCCTAGAGAAGAGAATAAAATAGACACCTAAGTGCACGGAGGCAGATCTGTCAACAGACACCTGTTCCTACAAGCTGAGCTGCCATCTGAGATTCCTCTGGCATCACAGGGCAGGGCAGAGGTAGCGTGGACGGTCAGAGGGGGGCTCAGGAAGCCTCAGGCTCACCAGCCCAGTGGCTCTTCCTTCACTCTTCCTCTGTTCCCAGTTGGGTTCAGAGTTCATTGAATCCTGAGGTCACAGAGCTAGTAGTGACATCCTGAGTACAAAGTATGGCTAGTCCCTGAAGTGCAAGGAGTCTTGGCCACCACCAGGCTTCTTACCTTTCTGGTTCCTAAAGTAGATGAACATTCCCAGCCCGAGAAAGAGCAGACCCAGCACGAAGCCCCCAACTCCACTCAGCATCTTGTTCTGTGCAGATGACGACTGAGCCCCTGAGAAAGGAAGCCAGGTTTAGAGATTTTCACCCCAAATCCAATTTCTACTCAAGACGTTGAGATTCAGATCTCAGAGATGGAAGCAGAAGCCTGTTCTAGGGGAGCTGGACTTAAACACTCTTGGTGATGTTTGGAAGCAATCAAACAGCAAGAAGTTCACAGTATAAAGAGACTTAAATATGGCCGCCCTGAGCTGAGCTGGCAGGAAGCTTCTGAGCTCCGAGGCTGCACAGCCCTGAGGGTGACAGAGCTAAGCAAAGGCAGAGCTGAGACTGGACGTCCCCGAGTTCAGCCATGGCCCTGCACTGCTCTATCTCCATCATCTCCATGAGCAGCAGCAGAAACACAACCCAGCCAGAGGCAGAGGCTGCAGCCAGGGCCAAGCAGGTCCCTGGGCCTGTGATGTCACTGGAAGGCTCAGGAGAGTGTGTGGGGCCATAACTGCTTCCCAGGGGCAAAGGTGCTTGTAGAAGATCACACACCTACCCCTGTGAGCCATGCTGAAGGGAAGGGCAGCACAGAACCGGTGGAAAAAGTGTTGGGGCAGAGAAGGCAGACAGGCAGAGGTAAGCCAACGCCTTTCTGGGGGCAGAGATTTAGAGGGTCATAGAGAGCTGACAAACAGGGGTAAGCCAAGCTCCCTTCCTTGTAGGTGAGGATAAGCAAGGCCAGGAAAACTGACAGACAGTGGTAAGCCACGCCCCTCCCGGGTGGGAGGGAATTCACTGGGTCAGGAGCTTCCTTCCCACTCACTCCACTCCACTGTGACAGGGCTGTTCAGGCTGGGATGCTCCACCTGGCAGGTGTAAACCTCTCCACTCTGAGGAACTGTCTCCAGCATCACCAGGGTCTGGAAGGTCCAGTCTCCATTCCGGATCAGGCCCGTGGTCACGACCCCAGTCTTCTCCTCCTGGCCATTCCGGAACCATCTGACTTCAATCTGGCCAGGGTAGAAGCTGCTCACAGAGCAGACCAGGAGGTTATGGTGCTTCAGGGGCTGTGTTTTTGTCGGGTAGACAGTCACCTTAGGCTCAGCTAGAGGAGAAAGGGAGGTGAGAATAAGTCATGAGGGCAGAGATGTCCTCCCTGGTTGGCTGTCTGTCAGCCACCATGCCCACGGGCTGAGGTCCAGACAGGACTAAGATTCTAACACAGTTGTCCCAGGACTTAGGGTGTCTATACAGTCTTTAGCTCTCAGTTCAGCTCCCTGGAGGAATCGCCATCTGGAGGTGAATGTCCTCTCTGCCAGGGAAAGACTCTTCTTCCTGCTGTGGTAATTTCCCCCACAGCTAAATCACACACATGTGTCCCTAAATTCTGTCTCTTCTTTTTGTCTATAGATGGTAGTGATATTTTATTTATGTTTTACCAAATAAAGCTTGCCTAAAAATCAGAGTACAGAGATCTAAGACACTAGAGGCCAGGCAGTGGTAGCACACACCTTTAATTCCAGCACTCAGGAGACAGTGGCAGATGGATCTGGGTTTGTTCAAGGCCACCCTGTGCTTGAAAATTGAATCTGTTTAAAAGAGAAACAGAGCTCACACATAGGTGGTCCCAGCACTTGGGATCACAGCCTTGAATCCAGCACTAGGGAGGTGGAGACAGGAGTGAAGTGACTGGACAAGGAGAGGAATATAAGGCAGAGGAGACAGGAGCTCAGTGCAGGCTGAGACAGTCAGTCCAGGCAGTGCAGTGTAGGCAGTCCATGTCAGGATGCAGGCTGAGGACTCGATCGCCCTTGTGGCCCGAAATTTGATAGAGGTAAGAACTCTAATGACTGGCTCTGCTCTCTGATCTCTCAGTTTTCACCCCCTAATATTGGACTCTGAGTTTTTATTATTAATACCGATGAGAATTTGTGCTACCATAGATGAGGACAGTTCTGTGTATGAGGCAGGAAGATTAACTGAGGAATTTTTTATCTTCTGGGTTTTTGCAAAACTCCAAATAAATCAACTTTGCCATACCTTAGACCTGTGTTCTCTTAATGTCTCTACACAGGGATTCACAGTCACCTCACAGGGGCCTGTCAGCGTGAGCTGCAGGGATTGTGGGCTGAGCTGCAGTCTGCACCCTGACCCATGCAGAGCAGGGGACAAGCACAGAAGGCAGCGCTGGGGAGAATCCTACCTGAACTACAGAAGCCCCTGTGTTTCTCCTATTGTTTCTGTCTGGACAACACAGGGTAAGAGCTGTTCTCATGGTGTCACTGCAAATCTCCCTGCCCTCCCCCTTCAAAGTAGTTTAAAGAAGCCTTTTTTAAAAACAAAAAATTCAGTTCGACTCTCAACAATCTTCCCATGTTTTGTGAAGAAACTCCCCACCTTGAGCTCTGTAAATGGGATTTTCAACACCTCACATGGTTGTGGGTAGTTTTATGTCAATTTGATACAAGCTCAGTTTGGGAAATGTCTCCATAAGATCATTCTTAGACAAGCCTGGAGGATATTTTCTCTATTCCTGATTATACCAGAAGGCCCAGCCATTATGGATGGTTCCCTTCCTGGGCTGGTGGTCCTGGGTTCTCTAAGAAAGAAGGTTGAGCAAATCATGGGGAGCAAGTCAGTAAGCAGCACTCCTCCATGGCCTCTGCATCGGCTCCTGCCTGCAGGTTCCTGCCTTGTTTGAGTTCCTATCTTCATTTCCTTTAATTATGAACATAGATATCATATAAGCTAAATAACCCTTTCCTGATTTGCTTTGGTTGTGGTGCTTCATCACAGCAACCATAACCCTGACTAGGACACACACCAAAGCTGAATCACCACACTCCTGGCTGCCCCTGAGCCCACAGCCAGCCATCCCCACACCTGCACGTTCCCTGGCTTTTCTCTCTGCTGTGTAACTTCTAACACTGGAGTCCTTCCTGGCTCCTCCACTTTCCCTTCCTATCCCTTTTTATTCTGTGTGACCAGATCAAGAAACACAGCTGGTCAGAACCCCAAATTCAGAACTTTGTCAGGCACCGGATGACATCCTTAGTAACCCAGAGATGGTAAAGTGTTCAGGACCAGGTCCACAGGTCACATGCCAACACTGGCTCATTTTACAGAAGGGGCCTGAGTGTCTGGATGTCAGGTGTCTCTGGGTTCCTGGACCCACAGCCTCTCCATATCAGACAGGAGAGCAGATCTGAGGCGGGGACGTGAGGCAGACACCTTCCCAGTGACGCAGAGGAAGAACACAGGACCTGTAACTACACTTCTCCTCATCAAGATAGCAATGCTGACACATTAAATAAGGAAACAGTGAATTAAAGGCTGAGTGTGGATCATCCAGTAAAATAAAATCGTAAATAAGGAAATGAACGACAGCAGGAACGTTAGACCTAAGGAGCCCAGAAAAGGCAGAGGCGCCTTGTAATCAGTCAGTAATACAGGTGTCACCTCAGGGGGGACAAGGGACAGTTGATTCTAGAGCCAAATATGTGTGGCCATGGCCCAAGAATACAGAGTCAGATGACCCCACATTCCATGTTCCCATATGGTGATTGATCTGTGATGTTTCCATGGTAACAGAACAAAGGATTTGATGAAGAAACGCTTTCCAAGTGCATCATGGGAGCATCGGGTGGGTGGGGTCACAGCACAGTGGGGAACTGGCCATGGCCTCAGGGCTCTGATAACAGTCCTGGCTTCTGTGTGGGGAAAGTATGTGCCTGACAGTTCCATACATCCTGAAAGGTTTCAACTCTGTAGTCCCGGATGTCAAGTCAGAGACACGGAGGGGCAAAAAATGGGACCAATGATAAGTCAAGGTTAATTGTCATTAGGCCGTGGATCTGCATCATTCCAATCTCCCCAAATCACTGAAGGTCTAGTGAGTCCCTAGCCCTGCAGCAGGTGCAGGTCTTTCTGGAATCTTCCATTCACAGGTCACGAACCTCCCCACCCCTGACTCCCCACACAGCTCAGTCTGACACTTCATTCTCAGTGAGCTGCATTTGTGAGCACAGCACACCTTGCTTCACCTGAGGCAGGAGGGAAAGTCCAGGAAACACTGGAGACCTGAGAGGAAAGAGAGACCCTCACTCTGGGGTGACTGAAGCCTTCAGCTAAGCAACAATCAGCAACTGCTGTGTTGTTTCTGTCCCTAGCTGTGACCTACAGTTTCTCACCACAGACTACAGGGAAGGGACACACGCCAAGCCCCTTGTGTTACAGTAGTGGCTCCTGAGTTCACATCCATCCACCTGGAGAGCCACCTCATGTGTCTCTTTCATCAAAGAAGACAGAAAAGAAAAGCTTTCTGAGAAAAATTTTGAGGTGTCTGCTTAGAGTCGGACACTGGATATGACTGATGCCATGACAACCCCTGCCTGCTCTTCCTGTGGAGACTGTAGCCCAGGGGCAGGTCTCCCTCTGTGTGACTGTCTCTGGGAAGCCCACACCCCGGGATGCGTCTTTACCTCCCTCTGCCTGTCCCCTTCCTCCTAACCCTTCTGCTGAAGCTGAGATTGATGCATCTTTAATACAGTGTCCACCTGTAAGCTTCCGCACTTTTCTGTGGACACCCGAACCTCGAAACAGGCGCGCGCTTTCCTGACTCGAGCCCATGAGAACGGACGCATGTCCTAGGGGTTTGAACAGACGACACACACACAAAGAGACCGGCTCATCTGCCAAAGAGCAAGTGGCAAATGGCAGCTTTATTAAGCATAAGTCGGGTATATATACCGTGGGGCAGAAAGACACCAGCCCCCCATCAGGAACAAGGAAAAAGAAAAGTCAGGGGGCTGCACCCAAGGTCAGAGAGCAGCTGAAAGGAGAAAAGAGGAAGCCAGGTGGGCGTGCTCAGGCTCAGAGAAAAGCTGACCCGGAACCTTGCCTGTGGGCAAGAACCTTGCTTGCAGGTTGAATTACCATAACAGTAGAGGGAGAGTTCTCTCTAAGCTACACCCTTGGGCTGTAGGTGAAATTAACATACAGGAGAGGGCAGTTCTATGCTACACCCTCAAACTGATGCAGTGGAACCAGGAAGCAGAACAGCCCTGCATAGCGCCTCGGGAAAAATAGGGAACCTGTGCACCTACATCCACCCCCTCCGCTGTCCTGGGCAGTCTGGACATTCTCTCAGGGCTGGAGAGGTGATCAGAGTTAACAGGGCTGCAGCTCCTGGTCAGGACAGGAGTTCTGTGCCCAGGTCCCAGTCAGGCTGCTTAAAACCACCTGTGGCTGCAGCTGCAGGGAATCCGGCAGCCTCTCGGGCTCCTGTATACACACACACACACATACACACACACACACACACACACACACACACGCAGGCATGCACACACACACATCCTCCTACTGCTTCCTCACAGTCCCCCTCACCCTGTTTCCAACCTCTCCCCCTCCCATCTCACCTCTCCTCTGCACAAGGATACTCTCTCCAATCGGGTAGTTGTGTCTGCAGTACGTGTCCACCGCGGCCCGCCTGTTGTCCAGGATCTCCTTCCTGCTGTTCCAGTATTCAGCGTCCAGCCGCCCCAGCTCATTCACCGCACGGAACTCGCCCACATCGCTGTCGAAGCGCAAGTACTCTTCCCGGTTGTAGATGTATCTCTCCACAAGCAGCACATGCTGTGTCCCATTGAGGAAATGACACTCACTTGTACTATATTCCAAGAACCGAGCTATGGAGACAGGAATGATCTTCTCTGGGGACAAGATGACCGAGTACCTCTCAGCTGCCCCAAATGACCAGATCCAAGCTCACCCCAGCCCACCTCTGAAGTCACCACAACCCATGGGCTGAAGGACGCACAGCCCTGCCCAGGTAGGACAGTTGACAAGGGTGTAAACAAGGAGAGATGGAGGAACTCCGGGGAAATCTCCTCCATTCCTAGGACAGGCAGGTACAGCCCTCTGTTCATAGCCTCCAGATTTCTTTCTTTCTTTCTTTCTTTCTTTCTTACTTTCTTCTCTCTCTCTCTCTCTCTCTCTCTCTCTCTCTCTCTCTCCTTCCTTCCATCCTTTCTTTCTTTGTCTTTATTTCTTTTGTTTGGGGGTTTTGTTTTTGTTTTTGAGACAGGGTTCTGTTCCAGAACTTGCTCTGTAGACCAGGATGGCCTTGAACTCAGAGATCTGCCTGCCTCTGCCTCAGGTTTGTACAACAACTTCCTGGCACCACTCTGTCTCTTCCTCTCTCCTTTCCTCCCCCTCCTCCTCTCCTCCCAGTCCCTCCACCCACCTCCATCCCCACATCCACTCTTCCTCCATTTCTCTTCAGAAAAGGGTGAGGCCTCCCATGGATATCAACCAAACCTGGCATATCTGAGTTTACCACATCCAGCCTTAACAGGAGAGGAGGTGCCCACACGTCTCTTTAATCCTCATCCATGACCCCCAGATCCCAAGTGACTGCGGAGGATGATTGGCCATTTTATCTTCCACTGTATTGAAGGGGTTAAACTCCCCCACTTTTTACAGCTTCAGCTCTCTGAGAAGAACACACAGGTGTCTTTCCTTGTTTTATCTTCAAGACTCTTACATTCAGGGTCCGGAGAGAGAAACAGAGCGTCTAAGTCAGTCTCACAGTGTCTCAAAGACAAACCCAGCAGCCCCTTCTGGGTCATGTCCCAAGTTTGTGCAAATGTGTCCAAAAATGACAATAACCTCGGCCAGTTAGAAACATCCTGATGTAACTGCAGCTTGCTTAGCCAGTCAAGTCTGAGGTGACCCAGTGGCTCCTGAAGCTCCCTTCCCTATGCTTAGAAGGAGCCTACAATTTCCTTCCAGGGTTCGTCGGCGGGTTGTACAGGTGAACAAACACACATGTATGTGCTGTGGTCAACGCTCTTTGTTCTTGCATGCTCTTTGAGTCTTGGGTCTTCCTTCACTGTTTCCTCGAACCCTACACTATTATTGTTTTTAAAAACAGATTTTTCATACAGTATATTCTGATCGCAGTTTCCCCTCCCTCAGCTCCCACGGAGTTCCCCACCTCTCCACCCACCCGATTCCACACTCTTTCTTTCCCTCCTCCACTAGAAAACAAACAGGCAACTAAGACACAAGAAAAAATAAATTAGGATGGAACAATACACACACACAAGACCCAAAGAAAAGTCATAAGAAGCACAGATGCACACATTCACACACACATGAATAACAGAAAAAAACCCACAAAATCTGAAAGCATAAAATGCTCTATAAGGTGAAAGAAAGGAAGGAAGAAGAAAAGCCCAAGAATACCACTGAGTTCACTCGGTGTTGGAGCAGCTACTGCTGGGCACAGGGCCTGCCCTTCAGTGTGGTTTATACAGCCAGTCAGACTGTTTTGGTTTCTGTGAATGCGATATAATGAAATCATTTACCCCCCACACCAACCTTCCTATATGCCCTTCCTTGTTCTCTTTTAAATTCATGGCCTCTTTTGCTATTATATACATACATACATACATACACACACACACACACACATACATACATATATACTTAAACATTTCTAAATACAGAAGCACAACCTTCTCAGTCTGTATAATGTTATTG